ACTGGCAGCTGCTTTAACGCCGCAGTTCGCCTTGAGAATGTATCAGAACGCTGAATGCAGCACTACTGAAAAACTACGTTTGCATGTGTCGACTTTATTTCACGTAGTGTTAATCCATACCTTCTTTAAAGTTTGTATGCTTTTCATTTCAATGAATACCTTTAGTGGTGGTGCACCAGATGAACCATTACTTCCTCCAGAGGACCATGTACGAGAGGGCATTGTGTTCGAATATCTCAATTACTACGAGGTAAGCTGCGTTTCGAGCGTCTTCGACTTTCATATTTGTTTTGAGATATACTGTCATTCGATATACTTTTCACTTGTGGTAGTGCCCAAGGTATACTAAGCGTTTCTTTGTTCAAAAAAAAATTTGAAATCAAACCAGAAGTTCGTACGTAACATTCCGGCTAACAAAGAGGTCCCTAAAGGAGAAGCAACAGTAAGCAGGTGTCAAATTTAGACCACTTGCTAGCGATCTGACGCTTGCCTTGCTGGCCGAAACGGTTGAAAAAGGAAATTCCAAAGAAAAAGTCGATTTCAAAATCACTGACTGATCTCCGACGTTCAGAAGGTATAGTCGCTCTGCCCAGAAGGACGTGAAAGAATGTATCTGTGACTCATACGCAATCCCCTTTGAGAGCTGACTATGTACAATCTGGTACTGGGCCGATATGTATTATAGTAGTGACCTCATTACAGTGACCGATGGACAACCTAAATCTGAAAGCAACACGCCATTGTTGTGGTCATACAGCGAGAGTATCAACCTGATTATCTGACAGCAGAAGCTGTTATGAATGTTGCGGGCAACCACTCCACTTCATCAGTACGAGAGGGTACTTCAGGAGGTCCGCAGCAGATTTACAACCAAAATGTCACTAAATTTTACAAGAACTCATTGTTGCGTCTGCGCCAAAACATCAAAGAGGCGGAGCTAGTGGTCAGCGATTCGAGGCGTGCCTGTGGTGTAGTTGGTTCCGCAGCCCAATCTCACCGATGACAGCTACGAATGGCAATGGGGTCCCGAGAAATCCCCTTAGGCTGGTGTCAGAGTCCGCGATCCGCTCTTCGCGATTTGCGCGATTTTCGCGAAACCTGCGATGGATCACAGGAGTTGGAAGTGCCCGATGAATACTGCGAGGTGTTGTTTAATCCTGCTGCGAATTCTGCTTGGCAGTAAAGATTGGAAGACGAATGTTTGTGGTTCTACTTGTTTCATGTTCAATGTCTATTAGTTCATTGAAATGCTCTTGAATCGTTCCTATTTTTTTCAGGAATCAAACCAAACCAATCACAAAAATTGCAAGTGCCCCATTTGAACAATTGAAACACTGGATATGAAACAAGTGGAATCATGAGCAGTCTCCATTAAACCATATGAAGCCTCATTAAACATAACCATCAAGCAGAAGTGACGGCGGGATTGGAGAACACCTTGCAGTATGGATGGGGCACTTGTGATTTCCGTGACCCGTCGCGCAAATCGCGAAAATCGCGCCAATCGCGCAAAGGATCGCGGACTCTGACATCAGCCTATAGGTTACCAGTTTCAATGTTCAATATCATGTTTGGGCGTATTACTTAAAAAATCACAATTTGAATGCAAGCGCGTGGGAAAGTTGCGATTGCAGCCATCAGGGAAGAGCAAGAACAGCCGGATCAGATCTAATGCTCTCGTGCTACAGAATATATGAGGAAATGAAATTGAATAGGTAGCGAAGATGAACTTACGAAGCGTTGGTAACCTATGTGGCGAAGATATGAGGCATGAAAAATGATGAATGATGGTAACTGGTTGAAGGGAGATGGAGCTTGAATTTCTTGGCTATGGCTGAGAAGTGTAGTCTGATGGTATCTGGAGTGGCTTTGATCCATACTCTAATGAGGGTAATACAGTTCGCGGGAAAAAGAAGCTATTTATCCTCCATCGTCGAATTGTCAGTTTCTACGAAGATATGGATGATTGAATGCAGCAGGATTCTACTTGAGGAAGAAATAAACTGCCTGCATAAAGCAGGCAGTAACGAAACAATCACCCGTAAGTTGGTTATCAGTAATTGCCTTAAACTTCGTTTAACTGCTCATGCTGGATTTTTTCCCCATTAATCTGTACTTCTTTTTTCTTCACCCACCGTTACTGTCCACCTTCACACCCCTTTTGCGCTCTTTTTTTTTATTTGTATAGTTTGGCGTCGAAAACTGCTCGGGAGAAATTACGTTTTTGCTGCTGGTGCTTTCTATTTCAAGAAAAAGTAAGTCGGAATTGAATGAACACTCGACACATTACATGTAGGACAGGCGCTGGGACCTTATCTTTCGTTCGCTCCATATGTTGCGATGGCAGATGTAGTCGAGTTCGAAGTAATAAATCTTTGACACCTCAATTGCAGAATGTCGTCTAGAAATTGAGTGCTAAGCTAAGCAAACCGTTTTGTTCGAACAGTTACTGTGTCCGAGACGGTTAGAAAAGGATGTTAGTGAAGATGACTTGAGATTGCTTTTATGGATAGTCAATCGTGAAAGAGGGGCATTGGGGATAAAGCTCTCATTTTTGAGTAATGTTAAGATGAGTTCCGTGGCGGATAGCGAGCGTGGGGCGCTGCAGTTCTCGCACTTTGTATTTATGTTTTAAACTGAGTTATATTGGGGACTGTTTTTTTTAACAGTGCAGTTGTTCTGCGATTTGATTGGAGTTGTTGGCTATGCTAATAGCTTCTAGCGAAGACTATGCAATAAGGATCATTAGGCTACCGAGATGCTTGATGCAAAAAAATGAGTGATCATTTGCAAAAATACCAAGTTTATCAATGATTTATTTAGCACCACCCGCTTGTGAGAAGGCGCGCATATCTTCCAGGGTGGTATTCGGAAAGGTGATTTTATTCTGGACATGATTATGGAGGGCTTAGCACCTAGGTATTGTATCGGAGAGAGGTATTTGGACATAAGTGATAGATTGTTACCTTGCCTTGTTGTCCACTGGTGAGCATTCTTTTTAGGCCCAGCAGACAGCCTAGCAAGAGCAGCTGCAGCAAAGGATCTTGTAGATAAGTGTTTCCGCGTCGGACTGATCTCAGAAGTTCTACACACTGCCATTGGGAATCATCCATTTTTCAAGAAGGTCAATTACAGTTTTGATTTTTCTGTCCATGTGCTTTCCGGAATTATTGATTCCAAAATTTTATGATACATGTTGCAATTAAAATCGCTTCAGTGAAAGTAAGAGTTTTCTGTTTGATTTTCAGAGAGACCTTCCACGAAGAGACTATGATTTGGCTATGGATGCACTTATCAATCTAGATGAGAAGATCTCTGTAGGTAAGGTGATCTGGTTATGCATCGAGCGTATTTTTCGATAATTTCACAATTATCAGTAGTTTTCAGCATTTTATCTCTGTAGTAATCTCTTGTATAAAATACAGTCGATGTTGAGAAACAAATCCTCTCCTTGAAGTTGTAGAGGTAACTCAAACTGGTGAACTCGCTCTACGTCTAAAAACGTCGAACTACGTCTAAAAATTGTCCTCTACTGCGCTCTCTCTCGTCTACGTTGCGATTCATGACATTGACCTCGCATGCTCCAACTTTCACCTCAGGTTCAGTGGCTCAAGCACTATCACCACCTGAGTTGCCTACATTCGTCCTGGCTCTCGGATCTTCTGTCTAGCACCGTCAAAAGATGAGATAGCCGCCGTCTGCGCTCTGGCCTTCCGCGCAAGAACATGGAGAAAGTTCAAGCGCTGTAACTCATTTCAGGGCTACTCAAAAAAGATACCCTATTACTTCTTATTTCTTTATTGCTATTTTTGGCTGCAGTCTGCCTAATCAATGTGCACAAGGATGCTGGGTTGAGCGCAAAACATTTGTTGGTTTTGTTTGCTTTGTTTGAAAAAATGATTGTCAAGAGTCTTGCTCATAACTTCAGCATCCTTATTTTCCACTTTGTCATAATTTGAAACAAATTCGCTCAATATGCTGTTTTATTGCATCTAGCTATTATTTAAGGGTTGAAGGGGAGTTTTGACACACCTCATCCAACTTTTAAATTTGAATCTTTTATTCCTAATTATTCATAAGTAATGAATAGAAAAAATATATTTCAGCTAGGCCATGCTCCAGAGATCCTTCAAACAAGATAATACACTTTGTACAGGGCCAATCAGAATGATTTTAAAGGGAATTCTGCTATTATGCTCGAAAAACTTGGAGTGGCTGTGTACTTTCGTGGAAGCAACACTAGGAAATTTCATCTCGAATGGTTTGGGATGAA